CAGAATCCCTTTGTTCGATTTCTCACTTTTTTAAATTTTCATGTAAAATGTGCGTTTCTGGATCTATTTTTGCAACACATTGTGTCTCTTCATTTTCTATTTGACTCAAATTTTTTATTTCAATTAAAGAAAGTTCACATTGAGATCACATTATGTGGAGAAAATTTAGCTGAGATACAAATCAAGAGAGAAGAGTTCAATCCTTTTCCAATCTCACAACCAGAGATGGGCTGCACGGTGGTGCAGTGGTTTGCGCTGTGGCTTTGCAGCAAGGAGGTCGCGGGTTCACGTTCTGATCTGGGGTCTTTCTGCATGGAGTTTGCATGTTACCCTGTGCATGTGTGGGTTCTCTCCAGGAACTCTGGTTTCCTTCCACAGTCCAAAAATATGACTGCCAGGTTTATTGGTCTCTTTAAATTGTCCTGAGGTGTGAGTGTGTGTGTACCCCGCCTGCATGCCCGAAAACTGCTGAAGATAAGCACCAGCGCCCTGCTACCCTGCGTGGAAAAGCGGGTATAGAAAATGGATGGATGGACAACCACAGTGGCCGTTTAGAAGAATGATACTCACACATTAACTTTGCTTTTCGGACACGGAGGAACAGATTTTTTTCCCACCAAGCTAGCCATCTAACACGTTAGAAGTTTTTTTCTCCTTTAAAGTTGTTTTCTCTAACTCAAAGTATGACTAAAAACAGCTCTTCTCTTTATATGGTTTTACTTAATTCTGTTAAAATCCTATAGGAGAAATGTTTTCCTGGGAGACCCTTAGCTGCATGAAAATAGAACTTTATTTAGACCAGATCAGGCTTCTGGAAATCAGGCTAATGAATATGCAGGAAGGACCGTCTTTGTTTCGCCCTCTAACTCTATAAAATAAAAGGTAGCAACCTTGAAATGATGCAAGGGGTATGTGTGTGGGTCCATATGCATGTGATATTCTTTAATTTATTGGGTTTAATCCCCAGTGTTTGATAGACTTATCTAAAGATCTTTTCCAGTTTGCCTTCATTTATTATCAGTGTATCTCTATCCGTCTGTCACTCAGATACATATCTATCTCTCTGTGAGTCTATCCTTCATTTTTCTTCTCTGCCATGCAGCCCTCGTTTCAGCTGAAACCCGCTTCTCCTCTCCTCCGCCCCCTTTTTCCTTTCATTGCACTTTCCCACTTAAACAGATTTGGCTCCTTTTGGTTAGAAATCTTTAATAGAAGCCACATACATCTGTTTCCATGTTATTGTGTTACACCGCTCAAAGAAAAAAAAAGTGCTCAACAACAATTTTCCAGCTTCAATTGATGCTGGTAAAGCGCTTTTTTATTTGATTTGAGAGAAACAAAAAGAAAAAGTGGTGCAGAAATGCCGTCACTAGTCAGCTCTGACAGCAGTCTGTAGACTCAGTGGTCCATGACGGACCAAAGTGACAACTCCACTTGTAAGTCCCAGCATATTATTAAGAAGGCATCTTTTGTTGCAGTCAATCACTGTGGGCTTTTGAGTGTGTCACTGCTTGGTGTTTGCACACATCAGCATTTTCACCCCAAGAGGAAGCAGATTTAAGACAAGAGTGTTGTAAACATGCTGTTAGGCATGCACGCACCATGCCCTGGGTTCTAAACTGGCCGGCTGCAGGAACGATTTCCACCACGATGTAATGAGGGTTTGTGCTGTAAATCTGTTTCAGAGCCAAAGGTCGCAGCCCAAGTGTGTGTAACCATCTCGATGCTCTGGGTGACGTATTTCTGCAGCTTTAATACTAAAATCACAGCAGATCCTGATGTAACTTAACTACTGCCAGTAATTCTGGCAAACCCAGGATGATATTCTAAAAAATACCTCTAAGTGAATTCCCACAGCAGTGCCACAGTGCCACCTGTTGGTTGCAATCATTTCTCCTTTTCTTGATCTTCATTTCCTCTTCAGAAACACTAATGTTTTAACATTTGTGTGTTGTTTTATTAGCCTTGTTTGAGGCATTTAAATACATGTGCATTTCAGAGTGGATGTGCTGATGTTTAGGCTTTTGCAGTGCGCTGACCAACACTATCTATAGTGGGGACGGTGTGCTGCTGACCTCCACTCAGGACGTTGTGGATCGGTGGGCAGAATACTTCAAAGACCTCCTCAATCCCACCGACACATCTTCCAGTGAGGAAGCAGAGTCTGGGGACTTTGGGTTGGCCTCTCAAATCTCTGGTGCTGAGGTCACTGAGGTGGTTAAAAAGCTCCTCTGTGGCAAGGCTCCAGGGGTGGATGAGATCCGCCCGGAGTTCCTTAAAGCTCTGGATGTTGTGGGGCTGTGTTGGCTGACGCGGCTCTACAATATCGCTTGGAAATATCGCGTGGACATCGGGGGCAGTCCCACTGGACTTGCAGACCGGGGTGGTGGTCCCCTTATTTAAAAAGGGGGACCGCAGGGTGTGTTCCAACTACGGGGGGATCACACTCCTGAGCCTTCCTGGTAAGGTCTATTCAGGGGTTCTGGAGAGGAGGGTCCGTCAGATTGTTGAACCTCAGATTCAGGAGGAGCAATGTGGTTTTTGTCCTGGCCGTGGAACACTGGACCAGCTCTAAACCCTTAGGGGGATCCTGGAGGGTGCGTGGGAATTTGCCCAACCGGTCTACATGTGTTTTGTGGATTTGGAGAAGGCGTTTGACCGCGTCCCTCGGGGGTCCTGTGGGGGGTACTTTGGGAGTATGGGGTACCAGGCCCTCTTATACGGCCTGTTAGGTCCCTGTATGACCGGTGTCAGAGCTTGGTCCGCATTGCCGGCAGTAAGTCGGGCTTGTTCCCAGTGAGAGTTGAAGTCCGCCAAGGCTGCCATTTGTCACCGATTCTGTTCATAACCTTTATGGACAGGATTTCAAGGTGCAGCTAAGGTGTGGAGGGCATCCGTTTTGGTGGCCTGAGGATCAGGTCTCTGCTTTTTGCAGATGATGTGGTCCTGTTGGCTTCATCAGAACGTGATCTTCAGCTTTCGCTGGAGCGGTTCGCAGCCGAGTGTGAAGCAGTTGGGATGAGAATCAGCTCCTCTAAATCTGAGACCATGGTCTTGATTCGGAAAAGGGTAGAATCTCTTCTCCGGGTCAAGGATGAGGTCCTGCCCCAAGTGGAGGAGTTTAAGTATCTCGGGGTCTTATTCACGAGTGAGGGAAAACTGGAGCATGAGATTGATAGGCGGATTGGTGCTGCATCTGCAGTGATGTGGGCGTTGTACCGGTCTGTCGTGGTGAAGAGAGAGCTGAGTCAGAAGGCAAAGCTCTCGGTTTACCGGTCGATCTACGTTCCTACCCTCACCAATGGTCATGAGCTTTGGGTAGTGACCGAAAGAACGAGATCGCGGATACAAGCGGCTGAAATGAGTTTTCTCTGAAGAGTGGCTGGGCTCTCCCTTAGAGATAGGGAGAAGCTCGGTCATTCGGGAGGGGCTCGGAGTAGACCCGCTGCTCCTCCACATCGAGAGGAGCCAGTTGAGGTGGCTCGGGCATCTGGTCAGGATGCCTCCTAGACGCCTCCCTGATGAGGTTTTCAGGGCACGTCCAACCGGGAGGAGACCTAAAGGTAGACCCAGGACACGGTGGAGGGACTATGTCTCTCACCTGGCCAGGGAACACCTTGGGATTCCCCAGGAGGAGCTGGCCCAAGTGGCTTGGGAGAGGGAAGTCTGGGCCTCTCGCCTTAGGCTACTGCCCCCGTGACCCGACTCCGGATAAGCGGATGAAAATGGATGGATGGATGGATGGATGGATGGATGGATGGATGGATGGATGAATGATTGTTTGTTTACTTATGCCCTAGACCTTTGACCTGAATGTAAACTACTTGGTACTTAACAGTTTGGTTCTTTTAGTTTATTGAAGCAGAAACTGAAAAAGCCACAGAAAAAGCTAAATGTGATTATTATTATTATTATTATTATTATTATTATTATTATTATTATTATTATATTGTTAACATTTTTCTTGTGGATATTAGAGTTGATCTAAATAATTTATCATTTTTATGAGTAAATCATGCAGGATGGGACTGTATCGTGGTATAATTTAAAAAATTCTACTTTTCTATTAGTTTTCTAGTAACCTTTTGCCCTGTGCAGAGTGCTTGCATGCATTCAGTGAATGAGCATTCCCTTTTTTAATGTAAAAGCTTGAGAATGAATTTACATGTTTTAAATCCTAAATGTGAAAAAGTTAAATGAATTTTAGTCCAGATGGGTAAAACAAGAACAAACTGTGTAAACAGCATTCCCCTTTTCACAGGACTAAGGATACGAGTAAAAGCAGGCAGAAAGTTTAACCCTGATAATTACCTAGAACAGAATTAAAAGAACGATGAGCAAATCTTCCAGAATTAGGCTCATAATCGATCCAAATTCAGATTTAAAGCTGCAATGGCTAATTTCCAAAACAAGCTAAAACATGTTTTCAGGCCTCAACAACCTTCTAACATAGCTATAAATATATTAAAGTTAAAAGTTACATTTCCATAGTCTGGGCGCAGAGAAGGAGAAACAGCCGGCTGCTACCACTTCAACTTTAGGACAAACTACCAAAGTCGTCTCCCCCCTCAATAAAAAATAAAACCTCACCATTTGAAATCACAGAAAACTGGGGACTGGTGTTTAGTACTACCTCGTTTTCTGGCCATTTGCATTCCCGTTTTGGGGGCGTGGCCTAGGCGTAACAACTGGCGGAAGATGTGAGAGTTCTGTGACTGTATTTGTGTTTAAAAGCTAGCTTGTTTTGCAGATTTGCTATTGCAGCTTTAACGTGCCAGTTTTCAGTTCTAGCTTTATGCACCCAGAACCAAAAGTGGCAACGAATAACTGGACTGGATCTGGCAACGGTGAGCTGAAGCCAGAACACAGCTGAGCGTTCCAATACTTGCACCAAAGCGTTAGGTGTCAGGCATCAGATTTTATCTTCATATCTGTAAAATGAACAGAGGTTTGGTGGTTTTTGTTGGTTTAAGATTTTTCCTCTCTCTGTCCCTTTTTAGATTCAACAAAATACAGAACACAAAGAACACGATGAAGAAGGACGGGATCAGCTCCCTGACCTACAAACTGGTGGAAGTGAAGAAGTATTCTCTGTACACAAACATCTCTGTGGAGATCGGCAAGCCGCCACCTCGGCCCATCAAAGGCTAGAGAGAGGAGGGGAGGATGAGGAGGGTAATGCACCTTGACTGATGGGAGAAAGAGGAGGAGGATGTGAGGAAGGGGGAAAAAAGACAGAAGCATCTGAAAGGATGTGAGATGGAAGATAAGAGGACTCACAAACTCATGACGGTGTCTCTCTTTCCTCCTTGTTTGGTCTTTTGAGATTCCAGCTTGATATTTTTCTCTTTTAGAGCTCGAACTTCTTCTTGTTTCCACTTGCAGCCAGTGGCAGCTTCCGCACTGACTGCACAGCTCCAGTCTGTGACAGTGAATAACTTTGTGGACCAGAATTTGGAATATCAGTAGCTAGCAGAAAGTTTTTATCAAACCTGGAGTTGTTCCTTTACCAGTTCTTTGGAGAATGGAGGCTCTCCCACAACATGTCAATGGGAACTGATACTGAGAGGTAAAGAAAGACACTTTTGCTACTTTTTCAGAGCACACAGAACGATTACTTTTCATTTCAGACTGACTGCATCAAGTTTACAAGGATGACGCAGCAGAAGACTGGGAAACTGGTTTAGCTTCACAAAGGTTAAAGCGTGGTGTTCCTGTGGAGGGGAAATAAATGACTCAGAACCGCATCAGGCAGGTTGTTTTTTTTTATCAGACAAGTCACATGTTGGCATTTCCCGGCTGGGGAGTCACCGGATCTTATTACACAAACTCTCTGCCGTAAGTCAATGAATGTGTATTGTGCCTGCATCCACCGCAGAAGACTTGTGAACACAGATGAAAACGTCAGCAGCACTCGGCGTCGGAGCAAACTTTTTACATATTCAATCTCAAGTTTTTGGAAAAAAGTAGTGGACTTCTGGAACCTTTTGTAACCAACCTCGAATATATGATTATTTCCTTTGTACGCAGGCAGGCGGAATCATCTTGAAGGAGTCGTTTAGGATTTATTGGCCCATTTATGATTGAGTCTGTCAAAAGCAGTCAAACATTGGCATTTTAGGCCATTCGATCGCCATAAATAAGACTGGAAGATCAAAACTGGGCTGTCGGGATGTGATTTGTATTTTAGAAAATACACATTGTGGTTATGAAACATGTAAAACTTTTATACAGGTAAGAGAAAGCAAAAAGGCGTGAACTATTTTCCTTTTTTACAGTGTAACCACGTGCTTTTTCATAATCTCACAGTCCATTTAAAAGATTGAAACTAGTATAATAAGCCACTTTAGTCTCCATCTTTTTTTATTCAATCATTCTGAAAAATATAATCATATCAAGGAGTAGATTACAAAGTGTGTCTCTTCTGCAAGTGAATTATAAGCCTGGAGTGTAAAATTACCAGTTGAGCGTTCTGACTGGCATTTATTGCTTCTTCTAATCTAATCATTATCAGCTGTTGCCACATCTGATTATGTGCACTTTTGTTACTTTTGTCTCATAACTTGTTGAAAAATACTAATTATTTCTGACGTTCTACCACCAACACGCTGAAGCCTTCGACATCTTTGTCTATTTCTTTTGCCTTTCCTGTTCTGTTGTTAACACCGATGCCCTAAACTGATGCCTTTTGCTGACTTGAAGGTCATTCCTGAAGGAAATGTGAAGATATTCCTTGAATTCTTTGTTTTAAAGGTGCATTATGTAAGAATGAAGTGACAATGACATCCTGTGGTACAATTTGTTTACTGCAGCCCATTTTCAAAACAAACGAATAACTTTATTACTGCCGTTTCGTGAATTTCACGGCTGTTGCCAGGTAACAGCCCAGAAGATGACGAGTTAAGATGAGTCATACACAGATAAAAACATTTCACTGTAATATTGAGTTGTTGGTAATTGACAAAATTGCTTGAACTACTTTAGCATTAGCTAGCACAGACTTTGCAACCCTGCAGGCTCACAGACTATAAACAATGATCACATCCCTCTTTAGCTTTTTTTAAAGGGGAAAAACTGACAACCCCCTGGCAGCTGTTCCAAAATTAACTTTGTCCAGCATGATTGAGATATTAGACCAGTGGTTCTCAATCCTGTTCCTGGTGTCCAGCATGTTTTAGTTTTAACCCCGCTTCAATACACCTGATTTCAGTCAGCAGGTGATTAACAGGCTTCTACAAGCCTAAGAGCTGCTGCACAGGTGAGTCATCCACTGAATCGAGTGTGTTGGAGTGGAGGAACAACAAAAGCATGCTGGCCCTCAAAGAAAAGGATTGAGAACCACTACATTAGACTGTTTTGCGATTATTTTACAGTAGAATTCTTACACATTGCTCCTTTAAGCTAAATTTGATAGTTTTTTTCCCATGCCTGATGGCTCCTTCTTCACACACAGTCAGAAGCATATTCACACTGTTCACCCTTTTTTAAAATATATTATCTCCCCTTTCACAGTTTTTTCTTTTCTAACAATGTCAGTCCAGGCGGCTATGTGTCGATGCTTTGTGGTGGACCCACTCCAGGCACAAGAGAGCTTCGCCTTTCAGTAGATATCGACAGAGGCTCTCTTTGTGTTTGGATCTCTGGGTTTTCTTTTCTAATCTCTGCTTCTCAGCGCACCTTCCACATTGTGAATCTTCCTCTCTTTTTCTCGACCTTTTCACCACATCTCATCTTCCTTCATGACCCGCCTTTGTCTGCATCTTGATTTTATTTTTGGTGCTTTTTCTGTGTTCTCAGACAATAGTCAGTGCATTTTCTTCTTCAAACTGTTTACAATGTTCCAGATTTGTTCACATCTGCTGCATGTTCTGCTCAAAAGACATCGTCGGAAAGGCAGGATCTGGTTTATTTCAGTTACTGATGCAGTCATGATGTCCTCTTTTGTTTCTTTGAATGCATCTGTTGGACAATGACTTTAATGAAAACAGTACAGCAGTTGCTATGAGATTTTGCAGTTCTCACTGTTTTAGAGGGACGCTTCAGTCCTAACGTCTAGACGTCACCAGAGCATTTGTGAAGTTTTAAAAGCAAAACCTTAGTTTTGTTATATATTATTATATTTGTGGCATTTTTTTTATGTTTTTGCTCAGGCACAAAGGTGCAGTGCAGAAAAATGAAAAACCATTTCAACTTTTTGTTTTGTACTTCCCATTCAAGCACCTGTGCAAACTCATGATACGGCTGAAGCGTCCCTTCAAAATAAAAGCCATTGCAGCTTCATCAAGGCTGAAAGTAGTTTTTTTTTCTTTTATGAGATCAGAAACACAAAGCGAAAGCTGAAGCTGGAGCAAAATGGTCTCAGTATGTACAAACATGGCCTCAAGAAGATAAGCAGCAGACACTTGAGATGCAGCCTCTGCTTGAGGATCAAACAGCCACGAAGAGTTTTTGATGTTTCTCGTCGTTTGGAGACCGCTTCCCGCTGTCACACCTGAGATGGTTCAAGTACTCATTTTGCTTCCTCTGCTGCTGACAGCTGACAGGAACTTTGGGCCTGCAGGTATTTTTAAACTTTACTGTAACTATGGCTGTCCTTTATTTTTCTTTTGTACATTGAATGTTGAAAATGTTATATCTTATATAGAATGCATTATGTCATATCAAACCTACTTTTCTATACAATTAATAAATCTGATGTCCAAGATTGTAGGATGAGTTTACTGTCATGCCTTATTGTAACGAGGAAATCAACAGAATGAGGTGGCTTAAAAACATTTACTTTTGTGTTTTGGTTCTTTGTGGTTGAAAAACCTTCCATTCGTTACCATGACAACCCACGTGAACCTGATGCTATTTGGTCCCATGAGTCCTGATGATTTTTTTTTCTACAGTGAAGCAAAAACACGTATAGTAGGGGCAGCAGTAGCTCAGGGGGTAGAACGGGTTGTTCAGTAATCGGAAGGTTGCAGGTTCGATCCTGGCTCTGACCAGAGAATTCTGCTGTTGTGTCCATGGGCAAGGCACTTAACCCCTCTCACCGGCTGGCGGTGGTCGGAGGGGCCGGTGGCGCCTGTGACCAGCAGCCCTGCCCAGTCAGTGGGCTGCACTGTAGCTCATCAGCATGTGAATGTGTGTGTGAATGGATGAATGTAGTAGTAGTATAAAGCGCTTTGGAGTCTTCTGACCCAGAACGGAGCCATACAAGTGTGGGCCATTTTTATTTTTCCTTGTCTTTCTCCTGTTTTTATTTCAGGTTCCAAACTGTCAGCAGAAAATCTCTGCAGAGAAAACCTGCAAATGGTGCCAAAACCTGGGACCACTTGATTTATTTGCTCCTGTAAATACAATGTTTGTTTCAAATCTAAAGTGCGCATCAGGACCTGCAGCGCGACATGCCAAAGGTTTTCTTCTGCCTTCAAACCAAGATGACAAGATTCCTTCCATAGACGTCAGCTGGACTAACGTGAAAATTGCAATTTTTTGCAACAAGACGATTAGGAATTCATTAAAGCACTTCATAACTGTCCCCACTGTGACTAGCCGTTAGCTCCTCTGTCCTTCCAAATTTCAGATTCTCCAAAATGAGACTGTTTAAAGAGCCTGTAAGATGTAAATATTCATAATTGTTCCACAAAACATCCTTTCTAAACATCTGAACTACCATTAAGTTGATAACAAGACTAGAGGAAGATTTGTCACACCTTTATTTTTTGTAAATGTGAAAATTCACGCTAGCATAAACACTCGCTCTGAACTTGAAACTGCCCAATGCAGCTCCAGAAATAACACCAGAGGGTGTTTTATAAAATGTTACGTAAATTAGAAACATCTGAGTTTAGTTTACTTTTGCTGATCTAAGAGTAAAAGCATCCCATCAATAAACTATGAATTCCTTTTATCAAACCAAATCCTCATCCGCTCTTTCAGTCGTTATGTGGCTGAATCTTTACTGCTTCACTCAGATATTTTCTACTCTTCATCACAGCTGTGCAAAGCTTTCTCTGCTTGCCTTAATCAGTAACAAGTATATCCTAACATTATTCCACAAACAAATCTCTTTGGCTTATTGTGCTACTTTAGTCTGTGCAGTACACCTCCAGGGTAACCACAAGACATGCAAGACTAGTTTCTCTGACTAGAAACATACAAACCACAATAAAATCTATAATATCTGAAGCAAGGTCACTTTTTTGTCATGGATTAAAAGAAGGTATTTGTTTGCTTTAAAGCATTGCATTACAAAACAATTTATTCCACTTGTTTTAAATTAAAATGTTTTTTTTTCTATTAAGACTTTGTTACATTAAAAGCTTTTATTAGCCGTGTCATCCTGATTCTGCCTTACTGTAATCAGCTGTGCTTGGTTTTTTTTCTTGCACCTGCACATCATGTTTGTGAGAGGCGGCAGTGTGCAGCTCGTCAGCAGTCGCTGCATCTTAAGAATAACTGCTTAAACCGAAGATAATTCAGCGCTGCTGCACAGGCGTTTGCTCGGGTGTGCAGTTTTTAAGTCGAGAACAAGTGGCGAGACGATTTCCCTCCCAGTAGCCGGCGTCCTGGCCATCGTGACAGCGACACTTGGTGCAGGAGTCGACCCAGACGGGCTCTCCAGCAGGAATCACTTGACTGCGCGATCCATCAACATAGCAGTTGGGACCTGGAGGAAGCAAAGTAACAAAGGGGAGTGTCACTGCATCTGAAGAAACACCACACACACACACACACACACACCCTAAAGAGGGGAGCATTAATAAGCAAACACAGAGCATGCAACAGATTCTTGTGCTTTTTTAATGTATTCTCAACTGTATGTTCAATAGTTTTTCAAACATACCCTCCAAGCATTCAGGACAGCATTTCCCAGGCTGGTACAAAGGATTGACACATGGTGGAGGGGCACAGTCTGCAACCAGACAGCGGGCGATGCCATCACTGTCACAAGTGCACTGCTCACACTCTGACGGCTGCAAGATAGAAAAGAAATGACGGTCACAAGTGCATATGCCGGTCAAATAGGCTAGTGTGTGCGTGTGTGTGTGTGTGTGTGTGGGGGGGGGGGGGGGGGGAATCTAAAAACATCCATATATCAATTTCTTTCCATGCTTTTGTCTACAGGGGGCGCCATTTAACTCTAATAGTCATCTGGATCATGAAATGCAATGAAAATACACTTAATAATTATTCATATTTGGCTGTAACACGAATAAGTATTCATAGAGCTAGATTTTTTTTGTTTGGTTTTTACACATTTTGGAGATTAAGAGGTTTTAAAGTTGGTAGATCCCAAATTAAAGAGATCCAAGTGTCAGACTACACTTTGTTACTCTTACTGTCAGAGTGACAAAGTGCTGATTTTATATTAGAAATGTGAGACTTTTGTAAAATATGTGTATCCTGTATAAAATATTAGCATTACAATCTTATTCAGTAATGAAATTATCTGTGACTTTTGTTCTAAAAGAAACACGCGGTTATTAGTTAGGTTGGATGCTTATAAACAGTCATAAATTAATTTCCGTGCAGCTTACCTGGAAAGTCTGCCCCAGCTCATACACCACCCCCCGGTACTCACAGCCGATCTTCTCGCACCTGGGGCAGCAGTCGGTGGGGTAGTGGCTGACGTGGATGCACGCAGCGGGGAGAGACGTGCACTCTGTCCGAGCGCACACGGAGCCCTCGTCCGTGCACTCGCACTGAGTGCAGTGATCGGACTCTAGAAAGTACCATTCTCCAACGTAGTAAACGCTGCCGTTGTCCTCGCAGGTGTTCTCCTGCTGTCCTGCGATCGAGAAGCCCAAACCGGACTGTGCGCAAAGGAGAAGCGTCAGAACCGCCGCGCAGATGCTGCGCCTCGAGGAGAGGCGCACAGTGGACACTTGTGCCATTCTGGTTAACTTGTTCAAAATGGAAAGTTAAGAGGAAGGTGAAATAAATCGCAAATTACTCTCATAGGATTTGGTAGGTGACGTTTGGCGCAATTGTACAAATACTGCTATTTTAGCTACATCGTTCTGGTTTCTCTGTGTTCCGCGGCGGCGCACAGCGACTGCTCTGAATGCAAAGAGCTCTGAAAGAAGGGGAAACAGAAGTTAAGAGGAAAAGTTGTGCACTAGTTTGAACAAGGCCCTCCCCTTCTTTATTACCAGAAACCAGACTTTTATCACCGCCCACTGCCGCCTCCTGTTTAATGGAAATTATTTGATCCAAGAAAAAAATATATATACAGAATTTACATTTTATGTCTTACACTAATAGTTTACTTCATAAGAAACCCTAGAGGAAAAACGGGGGGGGGGGGGGGGGGGGTGCCTTCGGACAAGTCTCGCGATAACTCTCCCTAGCAACCGGAGCGTTTCCCTTGGATACCACAACTTGACCAGACAGCTCGTGGATGTTTTCTCTGCTATCTTACCACCTCTCGATGATTTCAAGTTAACAATTTAAAGAACAAAGTAATAAGTTTTAGCTGAACTCAGTTTGATGAAAACAAAGTTTGCATTGTTTTTAATGCATGTATAAAGGAAACAGTAAGGTAGGTGGTTTATTTCTTAAGTTATTTATGAGTCACATATGCAAATATGTCTCTTTCTGTGATTGATTTGTGTCTTTTCTGTGCCCAGATTAGCCTTTCTATGGATTCACTTGATGACCTCCGGCTCTCGGGTCCAGGTCCGTCCCTGTGGAGCCTCATCTCTGAACATGCCTCTGAGTCAGAGCTGCAGAAGATCCGTGCAGCGCTCAGCCACCATTTGGTTGACAAGTACATCGAGCTGCACGCTGAAGTGAGAAATCCTTTCTGTCTTTTATAAATCCTCTTTACGTTTAATTCCTAAAGTTTTTGTGCACTTAGCTTTTCTCTTTTGAGAAATTCAGACACTTTCACACTTTAATCCGCACGGATTTCCTTTGATGAATAATCATTTGAAGGTGAGCATTTTAAGGAATCCACCTGAATCTTTAATGTGTTCTAGTTCTTATTTGCAGCTGTCAAACTCAAACATTAAGGACACATTTTGGGTTATTCTGGTAAACAAAACAAACACCGGAGGAGTTACGATGTACGCTGGCCACTCAAGAGCAAAAGTGAAAGGGAAAATGTTGATCTGAAAAGAAATTAAAGTCAAACTTTTAATTCTGGATGATTATGAATTCTAACTTCTAGCAGTTCCTCTTTCTCTGTTAAGCTGCGAAACATTGGACCTCTTTTCTTAAATGAAACAAAAAGGCCAGATATGACCAAAGATGCTTTAAGACATTTTCTGGATAAAAACACGTATGAGAGCGTTTCAGTCTAAATCCATGGACCATGCACGTTTTTGCTTTCACGGTGGGATGAATCCCTTCTACTTTTTTGTCCTTGCTCGTTTCTTTTGCAGCCATGTAATGAGTTCCATGCCACGGTGAGGTGAATGGGATAGTAGATCTGAAGTCAGCTCCTTCATTCCTGAATGAAGCGCCATCAAAGTCCTTATTGTCTTAGCCGCTTTGATCTGAGGGAATATTGGAGTCTATCGGTGTCCTCTAATCTCTGCATGCATGCCTCATTTCTTCCTCTCATTGAAAAGGAAAACATTCAGTTAAATAGATTTTTAAAATGTAAGTTTTACTATTTTTAAATGTTTTAGAAATTCTCAGAAAAATAATTTTAGGATGAGATGGAGCAAATATTCCAGTCAGACACAAACTATAAAATCAGCAACTCTTCATGCAGAAACACAGAGGAAGTGGGTTTAAATGGTGTGAACATGCCAGCAGAAATGGGTTTATGACCGTGTGTGAGTGAACATGCACACACACATGTACACACACACACGCATGCACATACTACGAGTCCAGAAGTGACGTGTTTAGCTTTCTCCAGAGTATTCCTTTGAAGTGAAGTCTTTGACTGCAACATGCAGAAATGACTGGCAAGGAGCAGGTGTGGAAGTGCTAATGGTGTCCAGACTCCACTGAGACAGGCGCTCACACACTTTCTAGGGCAAAAGGGTTTTTTTGACTTATAGCGGCTTTCATTTCAGAGCAATGCAATTTTAGTTTTACAGCCCTGAATCACAACAACACGTGCACTCTCAAGGCTCTTTGCATTTTAAAACACCCCCAAAAAAACTAAAGATATTTCTTTTATTGCCATCGTTGGAGTATAATTGTGCAGTTCTACACCCAGCATGGAGCTCATAAGGTTGACTTCTTCACAGATAATTGCGGAGAGAGAATAAAACAGAGTCAAGTTGCAGAATTTGTAATGGGATCTCTTTTATTTGACTCGTGTCATTCTTATTTCCCATGTTTCTAATGTACCACATTTTGCTCTGCAGGTAGAGACGTATCACAGGATGTGGCAGGAGAGGAAACAAATTGGTAACCATGGCAGCAGGGCTGAAACCCCGCTCGCTGACCCCCCTGCTGTGAAGGAGCTGGTGAGAGCTGAGATCAAGATGTTACTGCAAAATCTCAAGGAGAAAGCCAGCAGGGGTGGAAGGTAGATCTCACTCATACAAATCAGCTCGACTGTACAGGAGATTAGAAATTAGGGAAAGGAAAAAGGGGAATTTCATCAAGTTTTTTTGTTTGTGTTTTGGTTTTAGAAACATTTCTCTCATTTCTTCTTGAAAGAATCTAAAGCGCAACTCATCTTTTTGTCTGTTCCCCCAACCCAGAGATGGGAAAGTCAGCTCAGACGGTGGTCACTTACCATCTACGTCATTCCCCCTCGAACAAAAGGCGCCATAAAACTCTTTATTGTGTTCCTACGACAGCTACAAACGGGCTGTGAAAGCGCTGGAACTGTGGCTTTCAGAGGTGGGATGCTGCAGTCTGACTGAGAACCTGCATTACAATAGGCCAGTTATAAGAGAAGGAGACGCATTCCCAGCCAAGTGACGACAAACACGGGTTTAGAAAGAATCTGATTGTTAGTCAAGTGTCTGCGGGGACACGAGAATTAGGCTTGCCCTCCTAAATCTCTTTTATGTTGTTTAAGGAGTGGTGATAAAACATGAATGAGTTTTTAATTATTATTTCGACCACTAGTCCATCTCAGGCCAGATACGTGGGATGTTTTATGAGAGATTTGAACATGTTTCTGAGAATAAAGCTGGGCTATTTGTGGTTTAGTTCAGGAATCTGCAACTGTTACAATCCAAAGAGCTGTTTCCCCACAGCTCACTGGGATGAAACTAGTTTAAAGCAGCAGCTGAAAAATGTGGAAAATCTAAAAGAAAAGTCAGAATTCTGAAATCCAATTCAGGATTCTGACTTTTTATGTGAGATTAAAGTCAGCAATCTTTTTGTAACTCATCCATAGTTATAAGAGATTAGTTATAATGAAAAAGCACCATATTGCTCCAAAAATTCAGTTTTAAAATTAGAATAAAAGGAAACAATAAAACTTTTACAAAAAAATCGTATATATTTTCCATCGGATGCTGGTATTTACTAAAGATTATGTAAAAAAAAATAAGCCTAAGTAGATCCAAAAATATTGCAGGTACTTTTAGTGTCATTCAGATGTGACAATTCAAGTAGTAAACAAAGACTGTAACGTTGCTTATATATATATATATATATATATATATATATATATATATATATATATATATATATATATATATATATATATATATATATAGAGAGAGAGAGAGAGAGAGAGAGAGAGAGAGAGAGAGAGAGAGAGAGAGAGAGAGAGAAAGAGATGCAGGTATAACCCTTTTTAAATTAAATCTCTCGTTATAAAAGGGTTACATTTTTATTTATTTTTTATTATTTCTTGTCAAACTTGTTAAGAGCCATTGTGCAGCCACAGATAGCAGACCCCTGGTTTAGTAGCACCAATTACAGTTGCAACACGAAGTGTGTTTGTGCATGTGTGTGTGTGTGTGTGTGTGCGTGTGTTTGTGTGGATGTGTGTGGATGTGTGTGTGTGCGTGCGTGCGTGTGTGTGTGTGTGTGTGTGTGTGTGTGTGTGTGTGTGTGTGTGTGTGTGTGTGTGTGTGTGTGTGTGTGTTTACCTATCCAAGCAACCAGCTCTCTTCTGCCAGGAATGTTGCACCAGTGACACCTCTCTGGTTACGCTGGGCTCAGATGGGTTGGCTCAGGTTTACATTTAGATTGTTCTCATATCCAGTACACTGCAGGGAGTTTTAACAGATTTGGAGAAACTACAGTGTTGTTAAAAGTAAATACCATTACATTTATCGTCTATTTTTGCTTCTTTTTTTTTTTGTCCCACTTTGTCAAACTTCATTTTGTACTCAGCCATGTTTGATGTGTACCAATGCTCTTCACTCCACTTCAGTCATTCACTGTATGAGTATAAACCAGTAATGTTACTAGGAGACATTTTGCTGTGAGTAATTTAAAATTTTTACCTAAAAAGTTTTAGATCCTGCTTGAAACCTACAATATTCTATCAAGTGCAGTCCATTTTTTAAATAAATATGTTTTCTCTTTTGTACTTTTTTCAGTTTTTTATATTTTCAAAATTCCAATAAGGATGTCCAGCCAGCTTTTCAGGCAACTTCACACTCTTGTTTGTGTTTGAAAATCCAAAGTTGGGCTTCAAAAATGAGTTTGGAAGCAGGAAGATCAACTGTCAGATGAAACCCTTCATGCATTTCTAGTAATGTTAACCGAGTTCAATGAGAAGCCATTTCTTGTTTTTTTATATGATTAGTTAACGTGCAGACTGAATGTGAAAATATTCTTCTACCCTATTATTACCCATCCAGAAAATAGATGAGGAAACGCTCAGATTAGAAAAACATGTCAGATCTGAGTCACACTAAAAATTTGCATTAGGCTGTTGTTCATTTAGTGTCCAGGAGAGAGCAGAGCTTGTGTCGGCTATAGAAGCTAACCGTTAGCATTACCAACTCCGCCACACGGCAGAACTCCTTCAGGCTTGTGCCATTTGTGGAGATAAAACATAAACTTTGCAAAGCAAATGGAGTCGGTGGTAGAGTCGCGTTGCTGTTAGCCAATTTTCAGGCCATATATCAGGACACAAGACTTCTAATCCTGCTGTCTTCTGCTTCCCACTCCTCTGGCTCACTTCAACTTCCTGAAACAGGGGACCCAGAGCTTTTTTCCCAACTGAGATCGACTCACCTGACAATCATTCATACCTGAGACCACTGAAAACGTAGTGAAAGAATGAGTGAACTTGGACTTTAAGATAACTACAACACTATTGGCCAAAACTGCCAACATCACTTCTCTACCAGTAGAGCAGATGCTTGTAGTTTTATGTCAGACTTCCCATGGCACACTCCAACTTCATCTAACTCATGCATCAAAAGAAAATAAGATTTTTTTAACACTGGCCCTTTTGTGTCTAAGATTTATTTAAAGTTAATCTCTGAGGATTTTTTTTGCTTTTGAAGCAGCAGCAATGGCCGATGTTTAAGCTGATAAGCCACTACCTAACAGACTCCAAGCCTGAAGCCCACAAGAGCAGAGTGTCTTAATGAAGTGAAACAAGACCCAAACACAAGGCCTT